TAAGATGTGCAGTTTCACTATTACATTTTGCATCCATCAAAGTGTGTCAAATCAAAATCCAAGCCCTGGAAGCATAGTTTTTTTCTTGGTTCTTTACAAATAAGCTGGTTCTACTTTGTCTCCTTCAGCACTTCATTCAAAAGGTACCCAGTTGGCAGGACAGCTAAGATAGAAAAAATCAAGAGTAATTAAAAGACATCATCCATTCAAAATCTTTTAAAGCCCTAGAGTTCAACTCTTGACTGTTTAATGACTAGTTGGTGGTAATTCAACTATTATCCACCCTTTTGACCATCAAAACTGCAACACTCTCAACTAATTACAGTATAGGAGATATCATCCTAGGCTTCTTTAAGTGCTCTTCCATCCTCAACAAATACAGTATTTTGACCGACTTCGACTTCAATAAAAGGATCATTTTAGTAACTAATGGAGACACACAGATTTTATCCAAATAACAGGCAACATAGCAATAGAAGCATAGAGCAATCAAACAAATTATATTTCCAACGTGATAAAATTTATCAAGATACCAGTAAAATGAGTTTTAAGATTGATAGAACACCACAATTAGTCAGTCAACAACTAACAAAGATGTACTAGCTAATCCATTACATAAGTACTAAGCATGCATATTATGATTGACAAGGTTTTATATTCATCTGCCTCCTAACAGAAGAGCAATCTTTAAACCATCTATGTAACAAACTAATTCTTGCTTCCAATATATTTGGGGTCAGCTAAGTAATCCTTTTACGTGACCCAGTCCGACGATCAAAAGAAACTAGATAATGAGCATTGAAAAAACCAAAAGTCAAACAAAAAGATTGATAATAACATTCAAGAAATTAAGCAGACGAAACATTCTAAAATAGAACAATAGTCAACAAAGCTTTGCTCAGTTAAATACCAGACCAAAGATATCAAGAAAATATAAGGTCCGACACTAAGCATGAGGAAAAAAATGAAGACATTATGTTTACATGAGTCAGTCAGTATAGATTGATACCTTCAATCTTCGGGGCCACAGTTCCAAGAGATAGTTTGCTAAACTTCATTGATGTAATGCCTGGAGGTCGATATTCTTCCAATAAAGGTTCAACAGAATCTTTTATAATAGCCTCTGCAGCCTGAGAAGAATCATGATCAAGAAAATCAGCAATGTGAACTCATAAAGTGGAAGATCATTATCAATGTCAACAGAATGATAAGAGAAATTTTGTTAATGGTAAAATCAGATATTGGATTATGAACATTGATCCTCAGTATTAGAATCGATGAATTGTATATTAACATACTCATGATGTGTATGCCTTTAAACTGCAAAAGTTACACCCAGTGGATTATTGGGAAAAGAAGAAAAGAGAAGCATACATCTGCAACAAAAGGCCACAGTTTACTCAATTGCTTGTTTAGCCATTTCACCTGAAAGAAGAAGCAAAGCAACATCAGATGATGAGGGGCTAACAATGACCAACTCCAAAGATCACACAAGTTCAACTGCATATATATATCATGATATAAACGTTAAACCAAACCTCAGGAGAAAAAGGAGGTGTCTACCAAGATGATCTAAATCTAAGAGTACATCTAAAGAAGAAGAGGCTACAACCATCCATCTGCATAATAGTAGAATTCCTGCTGGCATTTCTATTGTTGTTCTCAAGGAGACAATTTCATTATACAAAGAACCTTCTGAATGTTCACAACCCGTTCATGCTCTTGTACTGAGCATGTATCACTTAATTTCTAAATTCATAACAAGAACAATCCTATTTTTATTTTGCTTCCCATTCCAATCAGAAGACTTTAAAGTTCCGATTAATGCCCATAATCAAAGTGAAAAATGCTTCCTCTCAAATGGGAGCTGCAGTTGAGACAATAAGACTATTATAGAAGGTCTTGCTCCTCACACTTGGAAGCAATCAGGTTGAAGAATGAGGCAATGAGAAGCTAACAAACCACTCTCCATTCTTATTCATTTGTGTTTTCTCTTTATGATCTCAGAATCTGTTTTCAGCTTGTTGAATGCATGCATGTCTCCACCAAAATGGAAAAGGATTCATAGACAAAAAAGGAAAATGACTCCAAAGTTTACAATAGGCTGTACATCAGAACTAATAATCCCACTGTATAATTCATCAAAGTAAATAAGTTCTAAATAAAGTAACATGAAAGAAGCACTCACAATAATCGTCCAAGACATTTCCCAAGCTAAACAGTCAATGACTTTCAAAAAAAATGCTTATGCTTGATTGGTTATGCAGTTACTAGAAGTTTTATCAATATACATCCCGTACTGCAGTGTCATTTCCAACATACCAATATACGCTCGTGATTATGAAAAATGGTAAGACACAGTGCAGCCAATGTCAGCACCAGAATGTTTAAGAGCAGGTAAATAAGCCCAACAACCATTACACACATAATATATGTTTTCTTCCAAGAGTCGAAAGCAATCAGGAGAAAGAATGATAAAGTATTACGACCTGTTCAAAAACAGGGAAAGATATCCATTCAGGAAAATTTTCACCACAGATTTTCTTCAAATCATCCCTGTTGAGAGAGCTCAGAGATTTTATATCAACTGCCTGTCAAAAACACAGAGAAAAACGAATTACAGTTACTCTCACAATTGCTCTATACACCAAAACCAAAACTTATCAGATTAGCATGACGATGTACACAGCAAATATCAAAATAAATACTCCTGTGAACACAATTATTGCACTGGGTTCTACAAAAATGACAAAAAAACTATACTAATGAACTATCATTTTCTTTCCAATAAAACAAGTAAAATTCAATTAATACAACTAACTATCATTTCCAAGTTTAAAAACTTAGCAAAGAGGCGAAAAATATAATTATCACCAGTAAACCTTAAAAACTCCCTAAAATCGAGAAAACTATGAATATAAATAAATTTAATTCAAGCAAATAAAGAAACGAAAAAAACCTTAGCAATTCGCTTGTTGCTCCTGTACCGCATCATGTGCTGCCAACCCGCCATCAACGCTATCCCGAAAACAATCCCCATCAACATTCCCGATATCAACCCCATGTTTTATTTCTCCTTTTTCCCCCTTTTCAGAATCTCAACCCTTGATTTCAAATTTCACGCTATGGAACGTTACAGAACTCCCCAACTTCTGTAAACCGAAAAAAAAATATTTCTAATTACCATCCAGATGCTATTTATAATCTTCAATTATTTCATGTGTTCGTTGTCAAACTCTGTTTTCATAAAGCATATTCATGGGCCAAAGAAAGGGGATAATTTCAATGTGTATATAAACGATTCCAATTTGAACGATAAATGACAATATCCCATAGGTGCAATCAAGGTATCAAGTGAGATAGTTTGTACTATAGTCAAATATTTCAGGTAATAATATCATTTTTTTTTTTTTGCAAGTTTACTTCTAGTTTCCTAACCGTGACTTTTAAAATTTGTGAAAAATGATTTTTCACTTGTAATCGATATAATTGAACTTAACGAATAACGCTATTTGCAGTCTCTTGCTATCACAGTTGTCATACGTAATATACATGTGACGATAAATGATTTGATGTATAAGAGAATAAAAAATTATCACATTAATGCATTCGATCACTAACTGCTACGTATATATGCCATATAGAACGGCTATGACAGTGAGCGACTACAAATAATATTACTCTAACTTAATTAAGTGGATTTAGAGGTACGTTACTTATTTGACACGTCTTTCTACATATTTTATTGAACAATGACATTAAAGATGAACATGATTTAATTTTAATAATTTTTTTGAAGAATTTTAAATTCTAATTAACGATTTGAAATAAACTGCAGCTACGATCTTGCCACAAACCAAATGTTTTGAAATTCCTCTCCTTTTACCTCTTTTTTTTTCATTTTTTAAAATTAATTTTGATGTGTCGTGGGCACTGGGCACTCACTAATGTTCTATACTTGGATGAGGATAAATAGAAAAGTCAACCGTGCCATTGCCGACACGAAGACAGATTAAAATGTTTGGACAATTTTGGGGCTGGGCCTTCTTGATTTGAGAACAAAGTTCAGCATCGTGCTCAAGGATTTCAAATAATTAAAAATGATGATTTTCTTCACATATAATTAACCATATATTTTATAAAACTCACAACTTTACGACTATACATTTCACCAACTTTTATTAAAATTTGCTAAAAATTTGATTTTAATCCCCGCCAAATGGGTATAAACCAATAGAACAAGTTATTTTTATCAAGTCACGATTAGTAATCTCTAGAAACGTTTAGAGATTCGCATCCCAAAGTAGCTAATGATCATTGATTATGTTTAAGAGTTACTTTCTTTAAAATTTTGTTAGTAAAAAATAACTAAAAGGTCATGTTTAGCAAAATAAGTAACTTGACTTACTTTTAAGTACAATAAATTCATTAAATGAACAAGTAACTTGCGATAGGTGTGTGAAACACACTTAATATACTTAATATTTAAAATAGAGCTGTGTTTTTTATTAAAATTCAAATTTTAAGATGGTAGATGCAAAAGGAAAGAAATTTGGACATAAACCAAAAGATGCAAAATAGGAACTTATACACGAATCATGTAAGGAAATTAGTATGGAAGTTTTGGTATAAAGATCTCCTTAGAGCAAATAATTTACCATTAAAAATATAATTGAATTTATAGTTTAATGCAAAAAATCGAACTGTCCTTAGAGCAAATAATTTACCATTAAATATATAATTAAATTTATAGTTTAATGCAAAAAATCGAACTGTCCTTAGAGCAAATAATTTACCATTAAATATATAATTAAATTTATAGTTTAATGCAAAAAATCGAACTGTCCTTAGAGCAAATAATTTACCATTAAATATATAATTAAATTTATAGTTTAATGCAAAAAATCGATCACAGTTCGAAGCTGTGGATCAAAAGTTATGCATGTTGTTGGTAGCTCTCTGCCTATCCCAAAGATCGAAAAATGTGGCCTCGAGTCCAACCATGCTCAAATTGTGATTTTTGTTTCCTAATCTAATGACACTTAGGGTACTTCTTATACACGACTTTCAAAGCATCTAGGAGCCTATATAAAGAGGAATTAAACTAGTGTATACTTGTGGTTGATAGCTTCCTTGACATTTGTCTCTGTGTCAAAATTCGTGTCATTTGTTGTTTAAAGTATTGTTAAAATCAATGTGTAAACATTGCCACCTCACAAGTGTGTCAAACTTGATGTCAAAGAAGATATACACGTACCATGATTGTATAAAGAGCAATTATAGGTCAAAAAGAAGAGGGATTTCATACGACATAATAGAAAAATCATAGAGGAAGCCACCATAAAACATTATCTTCTAGGAAGCAAAATTACAAGATATACTTGGCAGCTTTCGATCGGTTTGAAGAAGAACGCATCATTCGAGATCGTTGAAGATTTTCAAGATTAAGGATCGTATCAACTTTTATTCTAATTATCCAGATAGGCTAAATACTTTGTGGCTAGGATTTTGATGAAACATTATTAACTCCTTGATTAATTAATTGCTTGTTTGTTTAATTCTTGACTTTTGGACTGATTGTTTATTATTCACTTATTCTGTTTTGATGCTTGATCATCATTAATATATGTTCATGAGTTATATTGATTTCAACAAAATCAATATAGATTAGCACATGGTAATAAACAATATAATGTTATATAATTAATAAAAATATCATTATTTATGAATTTGTTATATGGTGGTCTATGTGATTTAATGCATGCTGATATGTTCGAAATTTAGTTAGAGTTAATTAAATTCATATATAAGTATAGAATTGCATGATCTTGAGAAAGACTAATAATTGTAATTGAATCATTTAATTTTCAACCTAGACAAAAATATCAAGTTCTTGTGATTATTGATTGTTTGTTATTGAATTGGTTGTGGTCTTATAGTTTGGGATTTGTGATTATATCAAGAAACAAATCATGTTTATAGGTCAAATAACAAAAAACACTAGGTACTATAGGAGATTTAGTTTCTTGCTTAATGCAATATTTTGTGACATTATAGTTTTTGTCTTGCATTATTATATATTCGCATCCTCCATATAGATACACTTGAGCCGTAGCTAAAAATTGGATTAATTTATCTCGAGAGAGAAAATCAGCACATAAGAAATACCGATGGTTGACATATATCAAAAATTGATTATAAATGAGTAATTGAAGATTAAAATAGGTTAAAACTAATGAAATCATAATCCTAGTGCCTACTGTGATTTAATTAAATTGTAAAAGTTTGTTGTTTATTTTTATAGGTAATTAGAATTAAATAAAATCCAAATCATTCTATAAATTTTTAATTCTGTGTCTTTTTTGAATTAGAACCAAGTTTAACTAAGATAAAATAGGTAGATACCCTATTAATCAATTTATTAATTGTAATTAGTCCACTTGCAGGATAAATCGACAACACTTTTTCATTTAATTATTCTCAATCGTTTAACTTGATTTACTTTTAAGCACAATTGTCGATTTCCTTAAAATTGAACCTTTTATTTTTTATTTCATTATTCTCAATTGTTTTACTTGACTTACTTTTCACAATTATTAAATAATCTAATCTAACTACATATAAAAGAGAGGCAGTAGATGTGTTACTGTTCACAAGCCATTTGGGTCGGCTCACAAGCCAAATCTTAGGTCGGCTCAACTATTGGTGTTTTTTGGTGGGAGAGGCGTTCGAAATATCAAATATAGAGTGTCTTTTGCGTGGAGAGTCTTGGTTTCTAAAATTCATTCCTTGTCGTGTTGCACTTTCCACTTTCCTCTTTCTTTTTTTGTAGATGGATCTGAAAATCTTTTCTTCTTCCATTTTCACGGCAGCCCGTCTTGCCTAGCAATTTATTTCCTACTTGTTTTTTCTCTCCCCTCTTTGTAGATCTAAAAACTCAATTGAATTTGTTCGTTTACAAGTACGATCGCTCATATTCATTGTTATTATTGGCTGTGGAGCTTTTTTTAGTTTAGTGAAGGCTAATTAAAGGTCGATACAGGCTAAACTTCATTTGTATGAGGTTTATTTTCCCCACCTGTACTCTACTTCAATTCGGGAAAATATTGGAGACCGGCTTACTTTTGGGAAGATGATGTTTGTCCCATGCCTGGTACCACTAAGATCGAGAAATTGAACCTGAACATTCAAGCTTTATCTATGAAATTGATGCCCCAAGAGATGGCTGAACTTGAATCCTTTGCTTCTGCCGACGTGGTTAAGGACGATAGACATGCTTACATGGCAAACACATGGTTAAACTCAGAGACTCCCCCACTATCCTCGTGGAAGCCCGAATAGGCACCTCCTTTGCTCTTTCACTTTGAGTACTGGACTGATTCTTAGAATCAATTAAATAAATGACTTTGTGTGTTTGCTAATATGTGTTGAATTCAAAGTTGTTTCTGAGGAATTTTCTAATTGATTTATGCAAAATTCAAAATAAAACTATTTTTTCCATTTCTGTTGTATTATGTCCCTTTCCCCAAGTTGCACTTTCTTATTCTTATTCACGTGACATCACACACAACTCTAGGGTGTGTTTGCTAGGATACTTTCATTTTGTATTTGTCTTGCGTGATAAACAGAGTTTGAAAAAAGAATAATTTTAAGGGAGAAAGTTGTTATTTATAGTGAGTGAATGCAATAATTATCTTATTATGATTTGTTATTATGGTGAGCCAATGCAATAAATTATCTTATTTGATGATTTGTTATTCGAGCCGATGATTATATTTTATTAAAATTATTTGGTATATGAAATTATTTAGCGTGTTTGTTTATTTGTTTCTATGTATGTCAAAATTCCTTTGAACTTTTTCTATGATATTGAACCGTGTTTATTTATATTGAATATACAGAGGGATATATATTTTGTGTATAGGTAGAAAAATGTCTTCAATGTCTAAGAAAAATAAAAATAAAACTAAATATCACCTTGAATTGAAAATAGTATCGAACGTCAACCAACGTAAAATGAATATTACAATTAAAAAATTAGGTTTTTAAAAATTCAGAAAACAAGATCCAAATGCTGCATAAGAAGTTAAGAAATCATTCAAGTGATGTTAAAGAGATATTAGTAGTTCTAACTTTAATATAATATTATAAGCCTCTGATAGCTCTTTTTGAAGACTTCTATTTTCTCTTGTGCAGTAGCCAACTTCTTTTTCAAGTTTTTAATCTCTTGCTCCAACTCAACTGTCCTATATGGAATCAAATGAAGGCATTCTATTAAACAATCATTTTTCACACCGTTACCCCCAAGAGACAAAATGCTAGAGCACCAGAAGGGGAAAATAAATCATATATCAAATTC